TCATTTCAAAACCCAAGAATAATTTAGATTAAAATTGTATACATTAAAATGTAGAAATAGCTAGAACACGTTCTATGTAGCCCATAAGAATATAGCAACAACAAAGTTAGCCCGATTAGCTTAGCTGCGCATTTTCTTGGGCCACAAACATCCTCAGAATTGTTTGCTAACCGGTTCTTCTAAACATTTCATAGACAAATATTGCATTTTGAGATACTTCATTTCATACTTTACCTTTCATGAATAAAATTTTTCCTGTTGCGAACAGTCCTTTTCGCAGAATCCAGTGTTACATATTAGGTGTTTTCGACTTAAAAGCAGTGCGGCTCAGACCGATCAGTGTTTGACATCAAAGTACCTCGAGAGCGTTTCGAAAGCATAACCGTCTGTATGGTACTTTGATGTCATACACCGATCGGTCTGCACACGCAAACAAAACCAAAACCTAGATATTTTAGGCAATATAGAAATCCTGGCCAGGACGCGTCCTGGGAAAATGGCACGTATGGTCACCCTATAATACACATATGCAAACATTTTGTAAATTACAGTTTTCATAGATGTTACCCTGGGCTTTCTCTGTATGTGACGGAATAATCCAATTTGAAACGCCGCTAAACACCATTACAAAATTGCGTGCGAGTGACACTTTGTTACAGGTCTCGAGCTGCTGTTGCCCCAGCAAGAGGTGGTGCAGCCGGCTCACATTCATTTCCAATTCAGCTAATTAATGTAAGTGATAAAACTATAAATCACTCTTATATTTTATCGAAATTTCCTTAATATTCGTAAAAAATCTTGATATTTTCTCTTTTTTTGGCCGGTCGACAGATTTGACGCAGTCAAGCTGACAGCTTAGTTGAATACGCTACACACGTACGCAGCCCTTCAAAGGCTGAGCAATGGTAAGAAAATTAAGAAAACTGTTTTGACACCATCACCAAAACTTTGCCATGATATACACTTTCAAAATACATTTGAACTTAACATAAATAGGACAATTCTGATTAATTGTCCATAAAAAGTACATAAAAATGAAACACACGTTTCTGTTTTTTTATGGAGACTCTCCATAGGCGTAACGGATTTTATACTGTACAAACTGTATTTTCTATCCCCTTACCTTAAACCTACCTCTCACACACAAACTTTCTGCCATTTTTGATTTAAAAAAAACTTTTAATTTTGTAATTAATTAAAAATTAATTTAGCAGGAAGTGCATGAGAACAATCTTATCTGAAACACCCGGTTTCCAGTTCACAGTCCTTTGAGCACACGAAGATCTTGGTGATGGGCAGAGCACAGGTACGTTACAGTTGTGTAAAAAAATGTTTTTCAGGATTCTTTAATGAATAGAACGTTAAAACGAACAGCATTTATCTGAAATGTTCCTGTGCATATCGGGCACTGGGCTTCAAGTGCCTTCACATTAAAGACAAAGATGTATGCAGGGCAAATTGAGTAAAATAGGAATCGATAATTGACAATGTTAGCTTTTGCTTGTGTACCTCCTGAGGGGGATTGCAACATGGATGATGTTGAATGAGGTCTAAGGTTTTGCCTTGAAGATGTTGCCTCCTCCATCAACACCAAATCTTCTTCCTGCAAACAGAAAAGAAGAAGTTACCTCTATCAACCCCAAATCTTCTTCCTGCAAACAGAAAAGAAAAATGTAATGTTCTACTGATAGAATTCTAGGCTGTTGGGAGTAGTCACAAATAAAAACACCCCTTAGAAGTCAGGGGCATATTGAAATGTGGAAGTTAGTTAATTAAAAGGTCTTCAAAGCAAAGTCTCTGTGGCAAAGACTACAGTGGTACTGGCTGACAAGTCCTGATTTTCATTCGTTACTATTGAAGTAATACTATTGAAGTATTAAAGTTTTGCTATTGTCAGTGCACAGGTTTTAAAGATAGTACAAAACAAACCTGTTATTAAAATGCACAATACACAGTCTTGTAGACTAGGGTGAAGTCAGAATGTACAGACATCGGTCCCAAATCGTTGTATTTTAGAAAACTTTGAATGGCAAACTGTAACGTTACGTGGCGCGGCATGATTTTGAACAGCTGTTGGGTGCCACGAATAGACTTGAGTGTGCATACGGTCATAATTTATGAATCATAACCCACCAAATGGGCTAGTGATTTGATGTGCGTTACCCACCTGACTTCACTGGAGCTATAATAATCTATAATCTCTGAAAATATTGGCCTGACGCTTTACTATTGGGGGCTCTGTCAGCTAGCTATACTGTTGGCTAATCAAATCTATTCAGACGGGCTTAGCTAACGTTATGTATTTAGATGGGAGAGCATGAGAAGAGAGAATAATTAAGTTCAC